AACTCCTCTATGTCCTTGCAGATGGGCTACACGCAGGGCGCCAACCAGAGTGGCCAGGTCTTTGGTCTGGGCCGGCAGATCTACGACCCCAAGTACTGCCCACAGGGCCCAGCGGCCGACGGGGTCCCGGCAAATGCCGGCGACTGCCTGGGTCCTGGGGAGGCCCCTGAGTTCCCCCCCTACGACCAGGAAGAACCAGACTATTGAGGTGCCCCACGTGGTAGCTCTCCGCAACATTGCCTCATCTGGGTGTTTGTTTTTGTGTGTGTTTTCGTCTTGTTTTTCTACTTGTTGAAGCCTGGACAGCCGAGGGACTGCCTGGTGGCTGGGGTGTGGGTTCCCACCCCACCTTGGCTCTTTGGTGTGGAACTGAACCATCCTGAGGCTGGTGGGGGGTGCTGAGGGAGGGTGTAAAAGTCACATCTTCTCTGTTGGGGAATTGAGGAAGGGTTACCTGTCTTGGTCACCAGCAGCATCCACTTCCTCTCAAGGTTTGAGTGGGAGCTTGCTTTGTGCTGGGAGCAGCCTGAATGGTTTCTGGTTTCCGGTTGCATGTCCCTCCCTTCCCTTTCTTTGCAGATCAGTTTGTGGTTTCTGTAACCACAGAAGCTTCAGGCAGCCTCTGAAGCAAGAAAAACACTTTTTTTTTTTCTTTTCTCCTGAGACGTGGTGGATGGTAGAAGGGGAGGGGATGGTGGAAGGAGGAGGGTGCTGGGAAACGAGCCCCCTGGGAGAGCCTCAGGCCTTCACCTGGAATATTTTCAGCATTTTAACGGTCCAGATTTCTCAGGACCTTCAGAACACAGACCTCTCAATAGGAACTATGGAGCTTTTGAGTGACTGAGGCAAAGCCAGATCCCCCCCACACACACTCGCCCCCTCCAATCCCTCAGACCTCTCTGTCTTGCCCCTTGCCGAGAACTGCACAGGGTCCCCCCAAGGAGATTCTTCTGGGGACCAGCCCGCACCAGGAACCTGATACCATAGGATAATGTGAAATAGGATCCAGGACCAAATTGCAATAAAAACCTTTGTTTTTACGAAAATGAAGGTGTCCGGGAGAGTTGGGGTTGAATGAGGAAAGCAGACTGGGAGATGGTGGAGGGTATTTGGTGTGGATGTTTTCTAACGACCTGGGGTCCGGGGGCGTTGGGGGAGAGCGCCTGAGTCGGTTCTCAAAGTCCTCTTGGGAACGGTGGGAGATTGAAGAATCTGAGTGGGAATGGATGACCCCCTACACCGGGACGTGGTTACGGGAGTGCGCGCCCCTCAGCCCCACCCTCACGTCCCGACGCACAGGTCGCCCCGCCCATGCTGCGGTCCATCCTGTGCAGGCCGCTCTCTGGAAAACGTTTGTCCTAAAAGCAACCCCACCGACGCTCCCTAGGCCCTCCTCAGCTGTGAATCCCTGTCCTGACAGCGGGTTTAGGAATGGACCCATTTTCCAAAGCGGGGAAACATCCGGGGGTTTACTCAAAATCGGGTGACCGTTAGTATCCCATCTTAGAATCATGGGGGGGCCCCCTGGCTCGCCAAAGAGACCAGGAAATGTAGCATGAATGAATGATGATTCCGATCAAGCCTTCCAGGGAAGACCCTGGCCTCCTAATGGGGCGTAGGTAACAAGGGACCTCCTGCAAACGGAAGCTGTGCATACTGGGTCCTCGCCGGTGTGTCCGTAGGCTGGCGCCTAGGGGGCTCGGCCGGCCCCACGCTGTCTTCCACGCTAATAAAGCGGGAGGCACGCGGTCTCTTTAAGAAACCCGGCTCCGCACTGCTACAACTACAGCTACAGCCCGCGCTCGCCGCTCCGGTGGGGCTGGTCCGTGAGTGGCAGGCACGACGACCAATGGCCGCTAGAGAGGGCGGGCGCGGCAGCTGGAACCCTGGTGCCAAGGGCGGTCGGCTTCGGGGGATCTGCGCCGGCTAGGGGTTCCTCTTTAAAAAGCCGCGTTTGCCATAGGAAGGCGACCAAAACTGGGGGGCTGAAACGGTGAGCGGGACCCGGAGAGGGAGGAAGGCCCCGAGACTCCAGGATGAGGGGATGGAGGGTGGGAGGCAGGTTCCTGCGAATTAGAGGGTGCGGCCGGGCCCAGCCCCTCACTCACCCTTCACCCCGTTTGGGTAAGTTTTGGGGTGCTAAATAGTTGACTACAGATCCTCAAGGGGGAATCTGGGCAGCACTGACATTTGGGATGGCCTTAATCTACATACACCTGCCGCCCCTGCCTCGCTTAGAACTTAGGGCGCCTTCCGCTACCCCATCCCTATCTTACAGATGGGGAAACTGAGGCTAGGTCCCAGATGCTAAATCCCGAGCTAAGTAAAGGAAAGGATCCTACAGTGGGGCTGGGGGTCTTGGGCCCTAGTTCCCATTTCTATGGCCTGGATGAGGAGACCTTTGGCAACCCCTCACCCCTCTGGCAGCCTCAGTTTCCCCATCTGTACAAGGTAGACTACAGCTGGACTTCCGAGCCTTGCTCGTTTCAGGGGCCCCATAACTGCCTTTCTCCAGAGCTTCTAAGAGATAAGCAATGTATGAAGTTGACACAGACCCTCCTGTCCTGAGCGTCAGTCTCCACTTCTGTAAAATGGGGTGATAATCTAACATTTCCACTCGGGCTTGTTGAAGCACACTAAACATTTGTTATTGCTGTCACGACGGGAGAGGGGGGCCGGGGAAGTGGAGGAAGAACTCGCCCCTAGGCCAAAGAAAACACTGGGCACGGGGGAGACCTGGGAGAAGCCCCCTGATGGTACTTGAGTGTAGCCTCGCTATGAAATAGTTAAAGCGAGGCTCCGCCCCACGAGGGATTAGAGGGAGGGTCTTCCAGACCCCAACCTCTAGCCCATCAAGGAGCGACAGCGCTAACAACCAATCAGGTGAGAGGACGATTTCGGGCCGGGTTCCCATTGGTCTGCTCCATCGTAGTGCCCCACCATGCCTTTCTGGACCCAGCTCAAGCTGCTGCTTTGGAAGAATTTCACTTATCGCCGGAGACAACCGGTAAAGTGGCAGCTGCGGGGCAGGGTGGGGTGGGGTGAGGTGGGGTGGGGCGGCCCCCCACTAGCCCGCATTCTGTGTTGTTTCCCAGATTCAGCTCCTCGTTGAGCTGCTGTGGCCCCTCTTTCTCTTCTTCATCTTGGTAGCTGTTCGCCACTCCCACCCCCCATTCGAACACCATGAATGTAAGCACACACCCCCCAAGGACCCGGCCCCCAGTGATCCAAATGGTGGGGACTCAGGCAAAGGGAGCAAGGCATCGAATGCCATGTATTTCCCCGCAGGCCACTTCCCCAACAAGCCGCTGCCATCGGCGGGCACGGTGCCCTGGCTCCAGGGCCTCATCTGTAACATGAACAACACCTGCTTTGCGCAGCCAACTCCCGGGGAGGAATCCGGGATTCTGAGCAACTTCAATGACTCACTGTGAGTGCCAGGTAACAGTGAGTGTAGGCCAGTGAGGGTGCTTGCCAAGCCCCCAGAGCCACCTTCTCTATCTGTCCCTAGGGTCTCCCGGCTCCTGGTTGAAGTACGTACTATCCTGGGGGGACCCAGTGCCCATAGGGCACTGGCTGGCCTGAGGAAGCTGCTGCCCACTCTGAGGGCGGCACGCACGACAGGTGAGCCTCAACTTGCCTGGCTATGAAACAGGTACAGGGTGAAAATGGCTTAGCGGATCTCGGGCTAAGGTCTGCTTAACCCTGTATTCTGGTGTGTTCTGCCCCCAGCTGGGCCTCCACAGCACCATCAGCCACAGAAGGAACCCTCCACACCATTGGCCAAGCAGGCCATTGAGCTGTTGGAGGCCTTGCTTCAAGGAGTGAGACTGGACAAGGCAGGCCCAGGGAGTCCTCCATTGGACTTGCTGGGGTCTGCGCTGAGCCAAGCCCAAGAGACTGTGGGTGGCTTTCTGGAGGTTATAGGAAACCTGACCCAGGAGGTAAGAGGCCATGCCCATCTCCAGCCCCAGGCAGGGAACAATCAGGGCAGGCTGCCTGGAGGAGGAGACGATAGGCAGCCTCAGGCATTCCCTCTGCGAAATAAGTAGAGTCCTGGCCTGGTTAAAGCTTGGGGATGGGACAGTACTGGAGGGAAGGTTGCCACATGCCCTCTGGTGTGACCTTCCTCCAGCTGCTGACGCTGCCCAGCCTGGCTGATCTGCGGGCACTGCTACAGAGATCCCAAGAAACCAGCAGCCCCCTGAAGGTGGTATTGGAAGCCCTGTGTGGTCCCAGGGGGCCCAGTGGCTCAGGGGTACCCTCCCTCAACTGGTATGAGGACAGCGACCTCAGGGAGTTCGTGGGGCGTGAGCTGGCACCAACCCCGGTGGACAGTGGCTTAAGTGAGTGACCTGCTATGGGGTTTCCCACCTGGGAAATGGGGCAGTGGCCATCGGGCCGGGTCTCATGGTGCCCCTGCTCCAGGCCCCGCCTGTGCTGAGTTGGTTAGGACCCTGGATACCCATCCACTGTTCCGTCTGCTATGGAGGCGCTTGAAGCCATTGGTCCTTGGAAAAGTGTTGTTCACGCCTGACACACCCTTCACCAGGCAATTTATGGCCCAGGTGAGGGTTGCTCTGTTGCTGGTGGGTCAGGGCAAGGCCAGCATGAAGGCTCTGGGGCTGGTGTGTTCAGGAGACTTCTTGGAGTCGCATCATGGGAGCAGGGTTTTGAAGGTATAATAGGAGTTTGCCAGATTGTTGGCAGAAAGATCAGCATATACAAAGGCTCAGAGGCAGATACTGGTCTTGTGTTCATCCCCCACCCCACCCTTTCCATGCAGGTAAACAAGACCTTCCAGGAGCTGGCTCTGCTGAAAGACATCCAAGAGGTGTGGCAGATGCTGGGACCCCAAATTTTCAACTTCATGAACAACAGTGCCAATGTAGCCATGCTGCAGGTAGGGCCCAGGATGGAGGTGGGTCCCACTTTGACCACCACGTCCTCAGACACATATGTCCCCTGAAGGACTTGGGCAAAGGACAGAGAAGAGTTATTTGGACAACTGTGTGGGGTACGAATATGGGGCCCATGCATGGGAAGAGGGGGGCACAGGACTATGAGGGCCCAGTGCAGACTCTATCCTCACTGCCCCTCCAGCGGCTCCTGCAGATGCAAGACACAGGACAGAGTCAGCCAGGACCCCAAAACCTGGGCCGGGCTGAAGCCCTCCGAGACTTCCTGGACCCCCACAGGGGTGGTTACAGCTGGCGAGAGGCCCACACTGATATGGGGCGTTTGGTGGGCACACTGGGTCGCATGATGGAGGTAAAGGCCTTAATCGGGGATCTGGGAACAGGAAGGCAGGACCCAACTTGGTGATCTGAGGGGGAGGTGTACATCCTGGGACAAAGGTGGGGCGGGCCCGATCCTGAGGGAGGGGCTGACATCCCACTGCCTTGTAGAGATCCAAGGAGGGAAACGTGAGGTGTGATGGAAGAGACCACCTGACTTGGGTGGTCAGGGGGGCAATGGTCTGCTCCGTGGGGGTCTGCGGGAGGAAGCCTCCAGGCCTGGGTGGTATGAGGGGAAGACTGCTGCTCTGTGAAGTGGGAGACATCCCATGTTACAGATTCTGAGGCAGCGAGCCATTTGCCCTTTTGGGGGGCGATCTGAGGCGGCACGGTCTGAGGTCCAGGGGGAGAAACCCATGGGTCTGAGGGGCAAGGCAGCTCGCATCTCGGGCTCACAAGCCCTGCCCTCTCCTCCAGTGCATTTCACTGGACAAGCTGGAGCCCGTGCCCTCGGAACCTGAGCTGGTGAAGCGGGCCCTGCAATTGCTGGCCGATCGCCACTTCTGGGCCGGCATCGTCTTCCTGGGGCCAGAGGACCCCCTAGACACCTCCGAGTCCCCTGCCCCAGACTCTGGTCATGGCCATCTGCGTGTCAAGATCCGCATGGACATCGACGATGTCACGAGGACCAATAAAATCAGGGACAGGTTTGCATGAGGCTGTGGAGTGGGGTCGGCAGGGCCAGATTGCATTCAGCATCTGGAGGGTGGAGCCTGCTGGTTCTTGTTAAAAGCCTTGTAGGCAGAGCCCGAGGTTCCTTAGATCAATTTGGACCCGTATCAGGTGGCGTCTAGGTTGCACAAGGGGGCGGGGAAACAAGTCTTGGTGGGCGGGGTCTGTAATAAAATGGGCGTATAGGCTGAAGGCAGTGGTGGGCAGGCCGTATGGGTGCGGCGGGCGGGGTCAGTTGAGCAATTGTGCCCATGCCCCTCTCAGGTTTTGGGACCCTGGCCCGGCTGCTGACCCCCTGACCGACCTGCGCTACGTGTGGGGTGGCTTCGTGTACCTGCAGGATTTGTTGGAACGTGCGGCTGTGCGGGTGCTCAGCGGCACGGCTCCCCGTGCTGGCCTTTACCTGCAGCAGATGCCATACCCGTGCTTTGTAGACGACGTGTAAGTGTCGCGCCCTCTCCCAGCCAACTTCCCCAGCCCCTAACTAGACCAGGTTCTGAGAGGCCCACGGCTCCTTGGCGTGAGCACCTTTACGGGGGCTGCGACTAGGACCCTATGAGACGGTTGGCTTCTCCACAAACTTTAGAACTTGGAGCTTCAAAAACACTGGTACCTGGGCCCTACCCCCAAAAGTGGTTTAAATGCCTGGGTGGGGCTCGCACATCATTTGGGACATCCATGCAGTTGAGGTGGCTACTGGTTCAAAAGCTCCAGTCTTTGCAACCCGAGTAGGAGAGCCGGGGTATCCTCAGAGTATCCTGAGGCTGGCTGAGTCAGAAGCCCGGCAGTGGAGAAGGAGAACAAGCCTCCCAGGCTGGGGCAGGACTCGGATGTAGACGTCTGTCACTTGGGGCCACTGCACAAGGTCTTGGTTCTACCCAGCCGCACCCCACGCCCCAGGTTCCTGCGTGTGCTGAGCCGGTCACTGCCGCTTTTTCTGACGCTGGCCTGGATCTACTCGGTGGCGCTGACGGTGAAGGCAGTGGTGCGTGAGAAGGAGACGCGGCTGAGGGACACGATGCGCGCCATGGGGCTGGGCCGTGCAGTGCTCTGGCTTGGCTGGTTCCTCAGCTGCCTCGGACCTTTCCTTCTCAGCGCCTTGCTGCTGGTGCTGGTGCTCAAGGTGAGCGTGTGCCTCTACCTTCCCGGCTGTAGAATGGGCACGCTCCACTTGGGAGGGTAACAAGCATAGGGCATCTGGACTGAGAAAGCCTTGTGCCCTGCAGCTCGGGGACATCCTCCCCTACAGCCACCCAACCGTCGTCTTCCTGTTCCTGGCGGCCTTTGCTGTGGCCACTGTGGTTCAGAGCTTCCTGCTGAGCGCCTTCTTCTCAAGTGCCAACCTGGCGGCCGCCTGCGGAGGCCTCATCTATTTTGCCCTCTACTTACCCTACGCGCTGTGTGTGGCCTGGCGGGACCGTCTGCCTGCGGGCGGCCGTGTGGCCGTGGTGAGGGCTTGCTGGGCCGGGTGGGGGTAGTCGCCGGGGACTGCGCCCATCTGCTAACTTATCTCTCCTGCCTACAGAGCCTGCTGTCGCCTGTGGCCTTCGGTTTTGGCTGTGAGAGCCTAGCACTGCTGGAGGAGCAGGGCGAGGGCGCACAGTGGCACAATGTGGGTGCCGAGCCCGCCCCCGACGTCTTCAGCCTGGCCCAAGTCTCAGGCATGCTGCTCCTAGATGCCGTGCTCTACGGCCTGATCACGTGGTACCTAGAAGCTGTGTGCCCAGGTGGGTCACTAAGGGGCGGCTCATCAGCCCTCCGGGAGGCTGGACCAAGGGAGCTGTTTAGAAGCCAGGTTAGCCCCGCGGGAGGTCGAGGCCAGCTAGGTGCGCGCATGCGTACAGATGCTGCGTCTAGAGGCCGGGCCTCCAATTGCTGAGTTCTGGGCCTTTTGATTCCTGGAGGCTAGTCCCAGGTGAGAGGGCTGGGTTTCCAGATCCTTGCGCCAGGGTGAGTGTCGTCCAGGCATTGGAGGCGTGGCTCTGAAGTGGGCGAGCAGCATCTCCTGTCCACATAGTACCTAGATTCCTGGGGCCCAGGTATGTGGCTAGAAGTAGGTGCATTTCGGGGCTCAAGGAGTAACTGAACGCCGACTCTCCCAGGTCAGTATGGGATCCCGGAACCATGGAACTTCCCTTTTCAGAGGAGCTACTGGTGTGGGTCTCCGCCGTCCAAAGACCCCGCTGAGACCTCCCTTACGCAGGACCCAGAGGGTGAGATCCAACAAGCCTTAGCTCCTCCTTCCCTATGTGGACCCACTAGCTCCTCCAAACCCACAGGTTTCAACCCTCTGGACACCCTAGGCCTCTGGGGCTCCCATAACTCCCAAATGCATCAGCCTCTGCAGATGCCAGTTGTCCCAAGTCTTCCGGACAATCCCCCAGGGTCACTGCTGCTCCTGCTAGGCATCCGGAGCCCTCCCTGCCCAGCCTTCTGGTAGTCACCACACTGTGTGCCTGCCATCCATCTGTCTGTCTGCAGTGTTGGTGGAAGAGGCACCGCTCGGCCTGCATCCTGGTGTATCCGTGCGCCGTCTGGAGAAACGCTTTCCCGGCAACCCGCAGCCCGCCTTGCGTGGGCTCAGCCTGGATTTCTATCAGGGTCACATCACTGCTTTCCTGGGCCACAACGGAGCTGGCAAGACCACCACGCTGTGAGCTGCCAACCCTCCCCTCCCTTCCCCTCCCTCGGCTTCCCCGTTTCTTCAAGGGCAAGGCAACCTCCCATAGTCACAAGCAAACCCCTGCCTTCTAATCGATTTTGTCGTATAGTGGACAGAAGAGAACGGCACCATAGGGTTGTAGACGCTTTACCTTTCTCCCAGAGCTGGTGGACTTGAACTGCCGACTTTCTCATTAACAACCCAACACTAGACCCCCTTCTCTATCACCCACCGTTGGACAGGGTAAATTGGGGTGGAAACCCCAGTGGACGCCAGGTAGGTACTTGACAGGTAGTACTGTAAATCCTCAAGGAGCTGTGGTAGCGTAGTTGTTACAAATCAGGCTGCTAACCTCAGGGTCAGCAGTTCGAAACTACCAGCTGTTCCGTGGGAGAAAGATGAGGCTTTCTGCTCCCGTAAAGATTTACAGCCTCAGAAACCCTGTACAGGGTCGCTATGAGTCGGAACCGACTCCACGGCACATAACAACAACATCAACAACTGTAAATCCTCACTGTAAATGGGGATGTAATACCCAATTGGGCCAGGTATACAGTAAGTGCCCTATAAGTGCAGGTACCCCTTGTCTCTGGACTTCAGTTTCCCCTGAGACCCATTTTCCCCTAGGTCTATCCTGAGTGGCCTCTTCCCACCCAGTGGAGGGTCCGCCTTCATCCTGGGCTATGACGTCCGTTCCGACATGGCAGCCATCCGGCCCCACCTGGGCATCTGCCCACAGTACAATGTGCTGTTTGACCTGTATGACTGGGTTGGGAGGGGATTGTGGAGGGGCGCAGGGATGGCGTATCCTGCCAGGCCCCGCTCACCAGCCTCCTGCTCTGTCCTCTGCCTTGGCTGTGGCATAGACTCACTGTGGATGAACACATCTGGTTCTACGGACAATTGAAGGGCCTCACTGCAGCTGCTGTAGGCCCCGAGCAGGACCGGCTGCTGCAGGACGTGGGGCTCACTCCCAAGCGCTGGACACAGACACGCCACCTCTCTGGTGAGCCTGGCCCAGGAAGACCTCCTCCAGGTTGAGGGAGGACGTGAGCTGGGACTTTATTCCAGGGAGGATGGGCAGGCCAGAAGGGCACCAGAGGAGATGTGCTAAGGTTCCTGCAGGTGAATGGAGTTCTTGTTGTTAAGTGCCGTGCAGTTGATTCCGACTCCTCAATGACCCTGTATAGGGCTTCCGAGTAGCAGCTGGTGAGCTCGAACTGACGATCTTACAGTTCAAACCGACTTTGCAGTCCAGCGCCTTATCCCACAGCGCCACACCAGGAGAGGAGAGGCAATCCTGGGATCCTGCTAAGACTCTGCCCCTGTTCCCACCTAGGTGGGATGCAGAGGAAGCTATCCGTGGCCATCGCCTTTGTGGGGGGCTCCCATGTCGTTATCCTGGATGAACCCACAGCTGGGGTGGACCCTGCTTCCCGCCGCAGCATTTGGGAACTGTTGCTCAAATACCGTGAAGGTCAGGAGCGGGCAGCTGAGGAAGGGGCCAAAGTGTTAGAAGTGGTGGGGATGGGGTTTTGAAGGATGGGTAGAAGTTTGCTGTGTGGGGCAGGCAGTTGCAGGTCACCTGAAGGTACATGTTGGTTGGGTGTCTGTGCCCAGGCCGTACACTGATCCTCTCCACCCACCACCTGGATGAGGCGGAGCTCCTGGGAGACCGTGTCGCTGTGGTGACAAGTGGCCGCTTGTGTTGCTGTGGCTCCCCGCTCTTCCTGCGCCGTCACCTGGGCTCCGGTTACTACCTGACCTTAGTGAAGGCTGCCCCGTCCCTGGCTGCTAACAGGAAGGTGAGCACTGAAGTTGACCTCTGACATTCAAGGCTCTGCCCAGCCCTGAAGATGTGCAAACTGGCAACTCTGTGCCTTGTAGGGAGAGGCTGACTTGGAGCACAGTGTGGACACCAGGCTGGAGGGAGAGCAGGATAGAGTGACCGGTGAGGGCTGAGCCAGAAACCCACAAGGGGTAGGATGGTGGGGTGATGGTACCCCAGCTAGAGCCCTAGCCCCTAGGCTGAACCTGATCCTGTCCTGAGCCAAACTCTCATCCTTTCCCTGAACTTAAGCTGGATTGAGTCCACATGCAAACCCACCCCTGACCCTGCCAGACTCCGGCCAACTCCAAGTTGAGCCCAGACCCTTCCCTGGGAAGTTGGGGAGGAGGGAGGCAAGGTCTCCAATCCACAGGGCTCTGATGCGTCCCCTACCTGCCTAGACGTGGCCCAGCTGCTAAGCCTGGTGCAGTACCTGGTGCCCGGGGCTCAGCTGGTGGAAGAACTGCCGCATGAGCTGGTGGTGGCCCTGCCCTATGCGGGCGCCCTGGACGGCAGCTTTGCCAAACTCTTCCAAGAGCTGGACAGGCAGCTGGGAGACCTTGGCCTCAGCGGCTACGGGATCTCAAACACCAGCCTCGAGGAGGTAAGGGGATGGGAGTGCTGACTTGGATTGTGCAGCAGGAGGGCTACCTGGAGGAGGTGAGGTGACGCTTTGAAGGATGAATAGGAGTTTGTGTATCCAGGGAGGAGGCAGTCGGGCAGGAGGAAGGCAGGCAGGGGACCCACAGTGTGTATGAACAGTGGGCAGCCCTCCGGCGGATCTTTAGGTTTTGAGCTCCTCACCTTGTCTCCCCAGATCTTCCTGAAGGTGGTTGAGGACTGCACTGCAAACACAGACAAAGAGGGTATGACCACTGGTCCCTGACCTATCCCCTGACTCTGGCCCAGAGCTAGACCTGACCTGGCCAGACCACCAGTGAGTCTGGCCTAAAGCCAGAGATAACCCAGATCTTGACCCTGATCCCCGGCTGAACAGCAATCCTTAGCCCAGCCCCAGGCTTAACTCGAACCCTGACCCCTGCTGACCCACCCTGCAGATGGTATACTCAGGCAGCCGGCAGGCACGGGCTCTGCGGCTCCATTCAGGACCAGGAGACTCACGGTGCTGCCTGAGGAAGCCATGGAGAATGGGGAACCAGGTGAGTCTCTCACAGTGCACACTGGTACCTCTCTCAGGCCCAGTGCATGAGCACTGACCCTCCTGTTCCCTGCAGTCTGGTCAGCCGCAGAGACACAGGCCCCACAGGACTGCAGCTTGGACACCTCAGGCCGGGTACAGGGCTGGGCGTTGACCCGCCAGCAGCTCTGGGCCCTACTACTTAAGCGTTTTCTCTTGGCCCGCCGCAGTCGCCGGGGCCTGTTTGCACAGGTGAGGGGGCCAGGCACCAGGGTGGGTGTCGGGACCCCAACTGCCTGTTCTTCCTGCTAGCCAACTACTTGATGGCCTATTTCAACTACCTGCTTAAATATGTTCTCCTCTGAACACATCTACTGAGGGCACTGGGGAGCCACAGCTGGCTATGGAGCAGGAGCAGGGAAGGGTATGGGCAAGTCTGGAGGGCAGGCAGGGCAGCCACTGATGGTCCGACCTCCAGATCGTGCTGCCCGCCCTCTTCGTGGGCCTGGCCCTGGTGTTCAGCCTCATCATACCACCTTTTGGGTACTACCCTGCCTTGCGGCTCAGTCCAGACATGTATGGGACCCAGGTGTCCTTCTTCAGGTGGGTGCAAGAGGGAGGGTGCTAATGAGGGGTGGTGCCTGTGGGCACAGCTCTGAGCCTGCGCCCCTCACACACAGTGAGGAGGCCCCAGGGGACCCTGGACATGCCCGTCTGCTGGAGGCGCTGCTGGGAGAGGCAGGGCTGGAGGAGCTAGACCTGCAGAACAGTTCTGACACGTGAGAGCCTACCATGTCCCCTGTGGCCTGAGTTTCCCCATCTGGGCTCTAGCTGGTGGACATCAGCAAATGCTGAGAACGCCCCCCTCCCTGCTCCTGCTAGGGATCTGGGTAGCCACAGCCCTGCCAACATCCCTGCAGGGTCCCCAAGTGCACGTCACTCCCCACCTGCCTATTTTTGGTGCCGGAAGTGCCTGCTGAGGTGGCTGAGGTCTTGGCCAGTGGCAACTGGACCCCTGAGTCTCCATCTCCAGCTTGCCAGTGTAGCCGGCCTGGTGCCCGCCGCCTACTACCCGACTGCCCGCTTGCAGCTGGCGGGCCCCCACCGCCCCAGGTACTGACGGGCTCGGGTGAGGTGGTGCAGAACCTGACCGGCCGGAACCTGTCCGACTTCTTGGTCAAGACCTACCCACGCCTGGTGCGCCAGGGGTAAGCTGCCAGGATGGGCTGAGGCGGGGGCCTTGCACGCCTCACCAGGTTTTCCTTTATCTGAATGTCTCTTCCCTTCTCCATTCTTTCTGCCTGTGTCTCTGTCATCCTGTCTCTCTCCTCTGTTTCTCTGTCTCTCCCCCTCTGTCTGTCTGTCTCCTCCCATTTCTCTCCTGTATCTTCTTTATCTCTCTCCTCTCTCTCTCACTCCCTGTCTCTGTTCATCTCTCTCATAGCCTGAAGACAAAGAAATGGGTGAATGAGGTCAGGTGAGGATGGGCCCAACTTGGGGGTCCCCCTGCCCTTGTTGCCTTCTAGGGGGCCCTCCCCACTCTCCCCATCTGAGCCTTCAGCTGCTCCTCCCTGCTCCCACTGCCACGCAGGTATGGGGGCTTCTCACTGGGTGGCCAAGATCCAGGCCTGCCTTCAGGGCAGGATGTGGGCCGCTCAGTACAAGAGCTGCGGGCGCTTCTGAACCCCCCACCCGGGGGCGCCCTGGACCGTGTCCTGAACAACCTCACAGCCTGGGCTCACAGCCTGGATACTCAGGACAGCCTCAAGGTGGGAGCTGGAGGTGTGGCTGGGTGGTGACAGGGGCAGGTCTGGCCCATAGCCTGACCCTATGCCCCACTTGCCCCCATCCCAGGTCTGGTTCAACAACAAAGGCTGGCATGCCATGGTGGCCTTTGTCAACAGAGCCAACAATGCTCTTCTACATGCCAGACTGCCACCTGGCTCTGCCCGCCATGCCTACAGTATCACCACACTCAACCACCCGCTGAACCTCACCAAGGAGCAACTGTCTGAGGCTGCACTGTGAGTCTCACTGCCCACCCTTACCCACTTGGGTCTCTGTTGGCTTTGGTGCTGGGAGTTAGATTCTTGCTTTGCCATCTTCACCAGGGAACGGAGACTGCCCCAGCCACTCCTGACTCGGACCACAGGGCATCATCAGCCACCAGGCTTCCCTTTAGCCTGTACACCCTTGTCCCATCCATCTTTAACTTCACAGAGATCCGGACAGCCTCTCCCTGCCAAATTACCTAGTCACCGTCCTCCTTAAGTGGCCCACGACATCTCCCTACTGACAGGCATACATGGCTCTGTCGACTTTTGTCCTGTCCCACACAACATGCACAACTCTGCTCCATGTAGCTCCCACACCCCTGTTCTAACTGTCTTTATGTTTTCACCCCCAGAATGGCTTCCTCGGTAGATGTCCTTGTCTCCATCTGTGTGGTCTTTGCCATGTCCTTTGTCCCAGCCAGCTTCACACTCGTCCTGATCGAAGAGCGTGTCACCCGAGCCAAATACCTGCAGCTTGTGGGAGGCCTGCCTCCGGCCCTCTACTGGCTCGGCAACTTTCTCTGGGACATGGTATGGGAGCTGCCTTGAGGGTTGGGGGTCCAACCAATGTCCCTTCCAGTGCCTTCTGGGTAGAGGACTGGCCAGGATGGCCTGGGGTGAGGGAGGGTCTTGGGGATTGTTGGAAACCTCGTGTGTTCTTGCTCCAAAAGCAGGGTGGTCAAGGTGGGGCCCAGAGCTGAAGATGGCAGTCCTTCCCCTGCCCACTGACAGAGTGTTTGCTGTCTCCAATGTAGTGTAACTACTTGGTGTCGGCATGCATTGTGGTGCTCATCTTCCTGGCCTTCCAGCAGAAGGCATACGTAGCTCCTGCCAACCTGCCTGCCCTCCTCCTTCTCTTGCTGTTGTATGGGTGAGACTTGTAGCTCCTGAAGCCCACACTGTCTATGTACCTCCACTGCACAATGCTATTGAGGGATACAAGTCTGAAGCAATTTTGAGGGGTTGGACATGGAGGTCTGAGGTGACTTCACACATGGTCTGATTCAGTGATATGCCGAGGTGGCCTTAAAAGCTCATCATGGCCCTGACCGGCATTACTGTGCCCCGGTGACACAGTGAGTTAAGTGCTGGGATGCTAACCACATAGTTGGTGGTTCAAACCCACCAACTACTCAGAGCTTCCTCTGAGCTCTGGGGCTGCCTGTTCCCATAAAGATTGACAGCGTTGAAAACCCTAAAGACCCGTTTATATAGGGTCACTGTGAATTGGAATCTGCTCAGTGGCCTGGGTTTTTCGTTTTTGTGAGGCAGAGAAGATGAAAGGAGATCTGTGTTTCTCTTGGGGCTGCTCAGCTGTGTGTCAGTGGTGGCCCTGTGGCTTCTGTTTCCCCTCAGCTGGTCGATCACACCACTCATGTATCCAGCTTCCTTCTTCTTCTCCGTGCCCAGCACGGCTTATGTAGTGCTCACCTGCATCAACCTCTTCATTGGTATCAACGGCAGCATGTCCACCTTTGTGCTTGAACTCTTCTCTGACCAGGTGGGGCACCCTGAGGCTGGGTCTCAGGGTGGGTCGGAGCATTGACCTTGGTCCCTGACCCACCTCCTTCTTTTTGTTCTTGATCAGAAGCTTCAGGAGGTGAGCCAAATCCTGAAACGGGTTTTCCTTATCTTCCCCCACTTCTGCCTGGGCCGGGGGCTCATCGACATGGTGCGGAACCAGGCCATGGCTGATACCTTTGAGCGCCTGGGTGAGAACTTCCCGGCAGATGGGGTCATGCCTTTAGGCAGTCAATACCCTTAGCAGTGTTATCAAAAGTCACCTGTACAAAGTGAGGACAAAGAGCAGCCTCCAAGAAAAGAACCAGGAGTCCTAAGTAACCCTGAGTTTGGGCCAAGTTAGAGGTCCAACAGGGGAGACATAAAAGCTAATTCCATCTTGGATCACATCACAAGAGGTCTAAGGTCATAAATACGGGAGGTTATAATATCGTTATTTTCTATGGCGATCCGACTTTAGTCAAGTGCCTCATGAAATTCTTAGTGCTCTCCTTTGTGAATCTAGGGTAGTTTGGATGTGGAAAGGGCTGGAAACCAAACCCCCCAGGGATCAGTCTCTCCTTCCTATATCCACAGGAGACGGGCAGTTTCAGTCACCTCTGCGCTGGGAGGTGGTCGGCAAGAACCTTTTGGCCATGGCATTGCAGGGCCCCCTCTTCCTTCTCTTCACCCTCCTGCTGCAGTACCGCCATCATCTCCTGCCACAGTCAGTGGGGGCACTGAGGGACGGGGGAAGGACCTGGGATGCTGACTTTTGGCCAACTCTTGTCTTGCTCTCCAGACCCAAGCTGCGGCCACTGCTGCCTCTGGGGGAGGAAGATGAAGACGTGGCCCATGAGCGAGAGCGGGTGGTCCGAGGGGCCACCCAGGGTGATGTACTTGTGCTGAGGGACCTGACCAAGGTGAGTGTAGACAAGTAAGGGCCTTGAAGGGTCCTTCCACCAGCTCACCCACCTGTCCTCAGGAACTTGCATCCTCTCCCAGATATATCGAGGCCAGAGGATGCCGGCTGTCGACCGCCTTTGCCTGGGAATTCCCCCTGGTGAGGTGAGTTCTGGATGGAGGGGCAGTGAGGGATGGAGGGGCAGTGAGGGAAGAACTGCCCTACTGAACACCCACCACTCTTATATTGAGTACTTACTGTGTGCAAGAAGGTAAGCTCTCCCAGAGGATAAGAAAACATCACTGAGCACTCGTGGCTGTCCACACATGTACCCCAAAGCCTTCATTAAACATGTACTGTTGACAGCATCTGGTAGTGCACTTATACACCTTTGAGCGCCCTTGTGTGGCAACACATCTATTAAGCACCCACTGTACACACCAAACCCGTATTGAGTGCCACCTTTAGTTGAACACAGACAGACCTTCAGACTCCTGGTATAGTGCTGTAGGATAAGCAATGGACTGCTAACAAGAAGGTTGGCACTTCAAACCCACCAGCCGTTCCTCAGAAACTTATCGAGGATCACTATGAGTCAGACAACTATCTGGCTGACTGATTGGAAGAGATCCATATTTGTGCCCATTCCAAAGGAACGCAGAAAATATTGGACAATATCTTTGATATCCCATGCAAATAAAGTTTTACTAAAAGTAATACCGAAACAGCTGCAAGCATACATTGACAGAGAACTTCCAGAGGTTCAAGTTGGATTCAGAAGAGGCCGTGGAACAAGAGATATCATTGCTGATGTCCGATGGATCTTGGCTAAAAGCAGAGAATATCAGAAAGATGTTTACCTGTGCTTTATTGACTATGCAAAGGCTTTCGAATGTGTGGATCATGACAAGGTATGGACAACATTGAGAAGTATGAGTATTCTGAAACAATTATGCTCATGAGGAATGTGTACCTGGACCAAGAGGCAGTTGTTTGAACAGAACATGAGAACACTGGATGGTTTAAAATTAAGAAACGTGTGCAACAGGGTTGTATTCTTTCACCATACTATTCAACCTGTATGCTGAATAAATAATCCGAGAAGCTGGGTTCTATGAAGAAAAATGTGGTATCAGGATTGGAGGAAGACTCGTTAACAATCTGTGATATACAGATGATACAACCTTGTTTGCTGAAAGTGAAAAAGACTTAAAATATTTACTGATGAATTGCATCTCAATGTAAAGAAAACAAAAATCCTCACCACTGGACCCATAAACAACATTCTTTCAATGGAGAAAAGATTGAAGTTGTCAAGGATTTCATTCTTCTTGGATCAACTATCAACACTCATGGAAGCAGCAGTCAAAAAAGCAAACGACGTATTGATTAGGCAAATCTG